AAGGTCCCCCTGGTCACAGCCAACAAATGATGTTCTAACATCAGCTGTGGATCCAGGAGGACTCCCAAGTTGCAAACCCTCTCTGAGGGCGTATGGTTTCACTCCCCAAGCTAAGGGATGGAATAGCTGGACCATTTTTGGGAGGGAGCATCAATTGAGTGCAAGCTTGTTCGCTCCCATCCAGACCCTAACAGCCTCCAGGCACTGACACATCACTTCTACTGCTTCACTGAGTTGGCACGGGGCAGACAGATATAGTTGTGTGTCGTCCGCATATTGGTGGTATTTAATCCCATGCCATCATATGATGTCACCCAGGGGCTTCATGTAGATGTTAAATAGGAGGGGGGACAGGACCGAACCCTGCGGCACCCCATAATTGAGGGGCCTAGGAGTCGACCTCTGCCCTCCAACCAACACCGACTGCGACCTGTCCAACCTCCCACTCCCGCCTCCCGTAACCATACACACCATGTTAATACTTTACACATCATCTTCAAACTTTAGGACAGATAGGATGTTTGCATCAGCTTTAATCTCTCACGTTACATAATTTACACAATATAAAATTTTGATATGTGTAGAGAATCTGTATTTCTTTTTGTTGCAGTTTTATCGCACTGCATGCACAATGCACTTAATTTCATACAGAGAATAATTTTGACCAACTCTTGGATTCCTCAGAAGTACAATAAAGTAGCCTCTGATATTTTAGAGTCTTTTCATATAACATTGCTTCTGGTGGAGTCTTTTTCCTCTATTGTGCAAGTACACTGCTTCACCAAGATATTTTTAAAATGAATAAGATACTTTTAAAATAAATATTCTTCCTAGCTGGAAGTTCTTATCGTTTGTCATTTCTTTTTTTCTGAATATCAGAATCAGCTAAATTAGCTGCTTCTGGGGGGGGGGGGGGCAAAGTGCCATCCACGTCGCTTTATTTTATGTAACCCAAAATATAGCTAAATTTAAGCTTGCAGGACTATGCAGATGCCTGCTATGGTATAGGGTCTCCTGCTTGAGCAAGGGGGGTCTCCAACCTTGGCAACTTTAAGACTTGTGGACTTCAATTCCCAGAAATCCTCAGCCAGCTTTGCTTAAGTCTTAAACTTTTGCTGACTGAGGAATTCTGGGAGTTGAAGTCCACAAGTCTTAAAGTTGCCAAGGTTGGAAACTACTCGACTAGTAGATGACCTACAAGGTCCCCTCCAACTCTGTTATTATTCTTATCCCATAGGTGCTTTTTCAGGAGGCAACTGGACTTTCTGATAACTAACCAGAAAATCCAGTTACCTCCTGAAAAAGCATCTTTGGGACAACCATGACCTGAATGACTGAAAATCTCCATAGACAGTTATTATTCTTAACATACTAATCTCGTTATTTCTAATGCTTCTCATACAACACATGCGGACCTAAGAAAAATCACAACCCACCTCTGGCAACTATATGTATGCAGTCTTTCGGCATCACTTTAAAGTCGTCAAAATTAAACTTAGAACCAACAGAATTCCTGCGTAAGGGGGGAAAAAAACAGGGCGATTTCAAGCGCTCTCTTTTCCTTCCCGTCTCCGCCCATGAGAGAAGATGGAAGGCAAAAATGAACGTCCGAACGTTCGAATAGCAAAATTGTAAGCAGACTGATTTTCTATCCTTCTGATTGGGCGGCCTGCAGAAAGCGAACGCGAGCGACCGCCTATCGGAGTCAAGAATCGGAAAAGCCTTTGCGGGGATTGGAATGGCGCTATATTTGAATTGGGAGTGGGCGGGTTTTTCTTTTTCCTGTCTCAAGTCCGGGCCTTGGCGTATCGGAAACAACCAATCCCCACTCTTAATGGTGGTGGTGGGTCCTGCACGTCCGGGGCAATTGACATGGATAGAGTGAGGCAGTGAGGAGAGGGTGGGGGACTAGCTTTAATATATCCCCTCGAAGTAGAAGAAACAACAACAAGCACCATGGATTGGCGTTTCCGGCATAGCCGCTACCGCTTCGCTTCTGCTATGAGCAGCATTGTGAACAAGGTAAGTAACAATGAGGATTGACCGTCGCTTTGAATGTAAAGGATCGGAACTGCGTGGAAAGGTTGGAGGTATCCTATTAGGGTCCATGGGCTTGACGATGGCTACCCTGCGGGTCTTTTTTCCAAACCGATTTCAACTGACAAATAACAGTGATGTCTTCCCGCCTCCCTCCCTTCGATTAGTAGTAGTAGTAGTAATAGTAGTAAGTAGTAGTGGCGGCGGAAGCGGTTGTATTTTATTACTGCATATCGTTCTCCCTGCCTGCATGAAAATGGAACAATAGAAGAAAATTCCGATTTAGAAGTGTGTCTAAGTATTTGAGGCCTATGGGCCGAAACGGAGCAGAAGTAGATGTTCTTTTACTGCGGTTTGTGGAAAATACAGCCATAAGCATTTAGTTCCTTGGTATAATTGCTTCATCAAATTCAGCAATATCAAATATTATTTAGCCGCAAAACATAATATTGTATAGTTAGAGTGCACATAATGCAAACTAAGTCTTTGGAATACACAAAAAAATGGAGTTGATTCCTAGATGGTGACAGAAACCCTGTTCATATGAATTTCTGCATTCCCAGTTTGAAAGTTTTCATGTGATCCATATCACGTGAATATAAGTAACAACAAATCAGGTATAGATTTTCTCTGGTAAAATCCATTTTCAATAGAAATTCTAATCCTAATCCTATTGGGCTATGCTGTTCTGAAAAAATGTCTGTTTTATCTAATAGATCTACTTAATAGTTAGGAAACATGCAAAACTTATGTGATATTTTCTTAATTTAGTACAACTTTGCCTTTGAAGACGATGTACTTGTCTCTATCAACTCATTGATTTATCAGACAGAGGATGGTAAGATTATTTTTACCTTATTTTATTACGAATATGTTTATTTTAAAACTACACAAATACAGAAATACATTGAATCTTATTTAAGAATAAAATGAAAAATGAGCAAAGTTTATTGTATTTATAAGTGATTAGTTTTGTAATCCAACAAGACACATCCATCTGCCTGTCTCTGTGTCTGTATGTGTATACATAAAAATGTAGATATATCCACGCAAACATACATCTTGAAATTACTAAGAATAGGGCTGCTTTTATTACATAAAAATATCTAGATAAGAAATTGTCATCCTGTACATGTTGAAACAGGACAGTCAGAAAATCAAATACATCACATGAATAGAAAATAAAAATATAATCTTACATTATGAAGTGTTTATATTGCAGAATCTATGCAAACATACAATACATTGCTACACTAAATTGAACAGAGGTGGTGCAATCATCCTAGATATTTTAGTGGCATTGCATACTGTCAACCACAGTACAAGGGTTGGGACATAGAGGCACAATGGCCGGTTGTTCCAATGCTTCCTAACTGAGCATATACCAAAGGTGTTCAAGAAACAGGTTAGATCCCTGAGCACTTTGTTATAAACAGCCTCATTGATTATTATTTTTTATTCTGTTCCAACACATACTTAAAGGCACTGGGAGAGGTCATCTGTCACCTTGGCTGAAGTATCAATATGCTGATGATACTCAGGTATACATCTCCACCTCAGGCCCATTGGAAAATATTGATGTCTGGACAGTATCAATATATAAAAAGTATCAGAATTTGGGGGGAAACAGAGTCATACTTAACCCAAAATGGCTGTTAAATACCATATTTAGTTCTTGAAAGGGTTATTCTTCCTGGAATGCACAGATTCTCATCCTCCTAGTCTTGGGGTTCTTGCTTGAAGAGCAGGTGAATATTGTAACCAGGAGTGCTTCTGCATAGCTCTGACTGATACATCAGCTATGTTTTTTAGTAGAACAGGATGAACACTCATATGTGCTCTTAACATATCTCATATTATAGAACATGATTGAAACCTGGTCCAAAATGCAGTAGTATGTCACCTGGGTCCAATTCAGGGAATCAAGCCAAATTTCATGAATACTTTATGGAATTGGATGGGTTTTTTAATTTGAAATACTTAAATGACAGCTAGAGTTAAATATACATGGAGAAGTAATCTAGGGTCATGGCTAATATTGGATCAAGTGCAGATGGTAATAGAAAATGTTCACAACTTTACTACTTTAAATCTGAACTTAACACAGGAACCTGGGATCCTCAATGACATAAATTTTATATGCAGGGAATCTAAATTTCAATTAATAAATCAAAGTTGTTCTTAACCTATCTTGGTCTCAGTCCGAATGCCAATTTACAGGAGGGGAAAAGAGAAGAAAGGGAAAGAGTGTAGAGAAGAGAAACAAAGAAGATGAAAGGGCTGGAGGCTAAAACATTGAATAATGGTTGCAGGGATTGGGTATGTTTAGCACAAAAAAAAGGACTAGGGAAGATATGATAGAAGTGTTCCAGTGATTAAGCAGTTGTCACAAAAATGGATATTTTCCAAAGCAGCAGAAGGAAAAACAAGAACTAACATGTGGGAACTAATCAAGGAGACAAGCAATGCACTTTTCATTATTGGACATAGCATACAAAAAGTGAATAGAGATGCAAAACATGTTCTGCTCATTGATCCTACTATTATAAAGCTCTTTCTCCTTGCCTATGATAATAAAAACTAATTTTCAATTTTTTGTCATAGTCTGGCATGGTCATTCCTTATTTGGAGGAAATGTAGCCTCTAGCCCAGATGAGGCCTCTAATTTATTACTTTGTCCCAACTGAAATTTATATAAGATTATAATCTTAATCAGAAATATGTATTCTAACTAATTTATTCTTTTGCAATTTATAGGACCAAGAGTTTGGGGAGAAGAGTCAGATGATGAAATTTTAGATGTGACTTATGAGGTATTAAAATGTATGCCTTTCATTCCTAACCTTGTTATTACTAATATGAAATTTATTTTCTAAATTGTTGGGTCCATGTTTAAAAATCCAAAAATATATGTTAGATCTGAATGGTGCCTGCAGTTGTTCAGAAGTTAGTTAAGATGGAACTAATTTGTAGGGCTTTTAATCAACACTAACACTTCCTTAAAGTTCAGAGACTAAAGTGAGTTGATAGTTTTATTATTATCTGTCTTAGGTATTTGATTATTATTTTGATTCTGAAGTTGAAAAGTGTCAGCAGGGTTGTTTTAAGTATACAGAAAATAAAGACATTTCATTTTATGGTTACAGATATCCAATTTAAATTATTGTAATTCAATCTTTATTAAATAGGCATTGCATAGATAAGGCTTTTCATTAGAGGTAACAGACTTAGATGGGACCTTGGAGGTCTTCTAGTCCAACGCACTGCTTTGGCAGGAAACACTACAATTTCAGACAAATGGTTATACAATCTTTTCTTAAAAATTTCCAGAGTTGGGTACCCACAACTTCTGGAGGTAAATTGTATTTATTTGTTTTTATATGTATTTGTTTTTGTAATCTGAATGATCAAATTCAAATATTGTTGTAATACCTGACATTCCTTAATCAAATTTAGTAGAATAAGTGTTTTTAAATTTTATTATTTACTTTTTCTATGTAAGAAGGCAGATAATCTTGTAACTTTTTGAATATTGTCCTTATAGTTTGATCTATGTTTGAGCATTAGTATATGACTAAGACTAATATGTGGGACGTGGTGGCTCAGTGGCTAAGATGCAGAGCTTGTCGATCAGAAAGGTTGTCAGTTCGAATCCCTAGTGCCACCTAATGGAGTGAGCTCCCATTACTTGTCCCAACTTCTGCCAACCTAGCAGTTCAAAACATGTAAAAATGCAAGTAGAAAAATAGGAACCACAAATTGGTGGGAAGGTAACAATGTTTCGTGCGCTTTTGTCATTTAGTCATGCTGGCCACTTGATCAGGGAGATGTCTTCGGACAGCACTGGCTCTTCGGCTTTGAAATGGAGATGAGCACCTCCCCCTAGAGTTGGGAATGACTAGCACATCTGTGCGAGGGGAACCTTTACCTTTTAACACTAATATAGATTAATTAAGGTCTTTTATAGCGGAATTATACTGATAGATATTTTCCCAAACTTAATGTAAGTTTACTATGAGTTACAATCAAGACCAAATATTTATTCATCAATAGACAGATCACTGAACGCCTTCTAAGTCTGGGTTATTGCTCCTAAGTTTGTATTGGTAGAGTTTCTTAGTCCAGAGAGATATGTTGAGTTTCTACAAGGTATCCGAAGTCAGTAGATTGAACAATTTGTAAAATTTCAGAGAATCGGGTCTACTTGTTATTTAAATAATAGAATCCTAAAACTTGTTTGAACTTTAATTGACAGAGGAAGAAAGAAAAAAATTCCTACAAATACCAGTTTGCTGTCAAAGTCAAATTGGAATCTACAGTTCAAATAGAATTTCCAGTTTTGTTTTAGACACAAACTTTTTATTCTAATTGTAATGTTCCCAGTTTAAATATGTAATTCCAACAAACAGATGTTTCAGAAGCAGCAATTTAATCATACTTTCTGTGCATTTCTTTTTAAGATATTCACTACCACTGTAAGCAGGTTATAGCAAAAGAAATGTCTTTAGTACAGTAATTCTGAAGTTTGTTTAAATTATATGAAATAAGTAGCTTCAAGATTGTAGATAAACATTTGCCTAGATTCGCTTCCTTCCTTCTGTAGACCCGTAGATGCTGGTAACATAGTTTGTTATTGAACAACAAAGTTTTCAAGCAAATAATTGTCTGTTTATTACTATTATAAAGGAATTCATTAACTGAAGTCTTTGTTTAAAACCACAGAACAGTATAGAATGCCAAGAAAACACAGGTAAGAAAAAGCTTTGAAATTTCATAGTATCTCTGTCTTACAGTGTGAAAGAATTTAGCCTTTAATTGTAAAGTTCAATATTTGAATAATAATTGTTAAGCAAATGCAGAACAAAAATTGTGATGAAAAGAAAGAAATAGACGAATGAATTTGAACAACTATGTGCAGAAATTAATACCGTATTTTTCAGACTATAAGACGCACCAAGATGCCGAAGAGGAAGGGGAAAAAATAGTTTTTGCCCTCCCCGGCTCCCAGGAACACTCTGCAGGCCTCCCAAACCCTCTGCGCGCCCTGTTTTTGCAAAAAACAGGTCCGTTTTTGGTGAAAATGGGGCATGGGGCGGGGTTTGGGAGGCCAAAAATGGCCGTATTCGATGTATAAGACACACCAACATTTCCACCCTCTTTTTTTGGGGGGGTGCATCTTATACTCCAAAAAGTACGATATTTTTATGCTTATGATACTTATGCCAATAAGTATAAATTAAGAATAGTTATGTGTATATTTTATAGTAGTTACTTTGAAAGTTAATCATTCTATCATAAGATACTGATATTTGCTTTTAATAGTCTTGAGAATTCTTAAGAGTTGGTTGGTGAGAAAAAATCATAAATTGCATGAGAGCTTGAGACTTTTTTTACAAAAAATATTCATTGCCATGTGATCCTCTGATGCTGAACCAGGATTATTTAATTGCCCCTAAGAATTTACAGAACCATTCAAACTCTGATGTAATCTAGAATTCCTTATCCAAAGACAAAGTATCAGTAAATTAAGTACTGTAATAAAATAACAACCATTGTTCTATATATAGTAAAACTGCACTCTGTGTTGTCAATTCTAGGATTTCATTCAGTTACAAAGATAATAATAAAAGAATATATCAAAATGTTGGTAGCTTTTGGTTATATTGATAAATAAAAGTCAATGTTTTTGAATTGAGTTCAATTGCTAAATCGGGTTAAATGGACAGTTTATTCAGTCTTTTTAAAAGAGATGTATAGATGTATATGCTGCCCAATCTTTAATACTTGACTCTTTGCCCAGGTGTAATAATATAATCTAATAATGTCATCCAATGTCCCATTTAAACCATACAGTCAAACTGTTCTACAAAATGTTTGTACAAGTTGCTTGGGTGAATTGAGTATTTTGAATTTATTGCTAAACATAAGAACAATGTTTATCAATAAAATAAGTGTCTTGTTTGTATTCATTAATTGGCTTTAAATGCCATTGAAGATGAAATTTTATTTTCAGATGTGCATATCTAATTAAAATTTGTCTTTTTAATTAAGTACAAAAGCAGAATTCTGATTTTGAAGAAGACTTAACAGATGATCAGGTATGATATGCCAGTAGCTTAGAAACAGTAATATGAAACTTTTCTTCAGCTGCAAGTATATGCATCTTCTCATTCTCCATTTCTACTCTTATGCACCATATTTTTTTAAAAAAAAGTTAAACACTTATTTGTTGATTTCCTCTCCCCCTCCCCCTTTCTTCAAACTGTGATCCTTATTGTGATTTGGATAGCCAATATAGTAGACTATGTTACAGATGATCTTATATTTTTAACTGTACCAATTATTGGGCAAGCCTATTTCTTTTCAATTGTGAATAAAGAATAATATAATATATAAAATATATCAGAAAATAATGCTTATCACATTGTTTTATTGAAATATTACAACATATCTTATATGAGAAGCCACTTGGAAAAATTGTCATCTCATTGTGATATGTATCCCATAGCATTAATTCTTATCTGTTACTTGTCAGAGTTCCAAGTAATAACCCCCCACCCCCACCCCCCGAAAGAAGACGCCGAGGCTAGAAGTTCCTCAAAGTTCCTTTTTATTAGAGATGTCATATTGGCACATCTGGGAAAACTTGAATCTGAAAGCTTCTGGGTTTTCCCCACCCAAAAGAAAGTCAAAGTACTCTCCCCTGCACCCACATTTTCATCAAATGGTCCAATCACTCCACCGTCCCAACTGGAGATACTTCCCAGTCACGCCACTCCAGGTGGAGGCTGAATCGCCCTTAACTTCCAGAGAAAAGAATATTGTTGTGGCTATATATCTCAACCACTCCACAAAATCCCCCTTCCTGGTTTCCCACAACACTAAATGTTGCAGCCCTGAAGATCCAAAGAAAAATATGGCTTCCAGGGCTGACATTACCACATTGGCTCTTACTCCCAAGTACCCTTAAAACATGGTATTTCTGGTAAATTGCAAAATGAAATAGCACAAATAACATTACTGGGGGTCTGATAAGCAAAACACCTATGAGGAATCTTCGGAATTATCTTGAATAAACCATAGAAGCATTTAATTTGTAAGTTAGTATCTTATTGAAGGATCTGCTCAAGGCTATTATGTAAACTCAGTATATTTAGATTTAAGGCCTGAAAAACTAGATCATTTTGTCTACGTTTTTCACTGTAAGATTGTCCTATATAAAAATGTAAATTAAATAGCCACTCAGAGTTGCCTGAACCACAAGATGGATGGCAAATAAATTGGATGCATAAATAAATATTAAGTCAGCAAATTATAGTTTTGTTTGATTTCTTCTCTCCCTATCCCATTATATAATTGGCAGCAAAATTATAAATGCATAGTGATTGATGTCAGCTGATACAGTAGTTGTTCTACATGTTTGGAAAATCTAAAAAGAAATTAGGAGCATTTTGTAGCAGAAAATGTTCCAAAGTTTGTAATTGATTTTGTACACTAATTGAAGTTAATGCAATGCTTATAATTTTGGGTTTTTAAAAAGACATTTGAGGAAAGTCACTTCTCCAACTTACATGAAGAGAGTCAACTCAGTCCAGGTAAGCACAAAACATGTAACCCTGAAAATTACTTTCTGTTTATCTACACACGTTTTACTATTAAACTTATTTTAAAATGTATTTAACTGATACTTGATCTGCAACGACAATTCCTATATGTCCCACTGTATTTATATTTAACAATAACAGTGCATCATAAACCTCATCCTGTGAGTTAATGAATTGAAGAATTTTAGCCCAAAATGTACTGTATTTTTCTGAGTATAAGACACACTGGACTATAAGATGCACCAAGGTTTTGAAGAGGCAAATAAAAAATAAAAAAAGATTTTGCACTCTGCAGACTTCCCAAAACCAGCCCTTTTTCTTCCCCCCCCCCAAAAAAAAGGCATGAATAGCCTTTAGGTGGCTTGTAGAGTGCTCTGGGAGGGGGGGGCAAAAACGGGCTCGTTTTCCGTCAAAAAAAATTGCATGCATAACCTTTAGGAGGCTTATAGAGTGCTCCTGGGGGAGCCAAATTGAGCAAAAAACAGCCCATTTTTTGCTCATTTCTGCCCTCCTCAGCCCCCAGGAGCACTCTGAAAACCTCCTACAGACTCTGCACGGCCATTTTGGTGAAGGGGGCAGGGTTTCGGGAGGCAAAAAAATGCTGTATTCAGTGTATAAGATGCACCCAGATTTTCAGCCTCTTGAGGAAAAAGGTGCATTTTATACTCCAAAAAATACGATAATTTTTATTTTTGTTTCAAGCAACATTTTTGGTATCTTTTTGTACAAATGAATACTCAGGTTGTAATATCTGGATTGAAGTGTATTTAAGTCTGTAATTAAGAATCATATGACATGCATATGGAATTAGAGCCCCCTTTTCCCTTTTAAATCATTAACATGTGTTGTTAATTCATTATTATCCATTCTTCATATAATTCAGATAATTGTATTTGTGTCATTATTATTTTTAAACCTTGATTTGGAAGCTTTCTGTATGACATTCACTCATGCCCTCCCACATACATTTCTCAAAGAATGACAGTACAACCAGGCAATTTAAGTGAATTCTCTCTTATTCTTGTACAATAACTTGTCAATGAAATGCTTTTAAAGGCCATAGTAATCATAGTGTTGGCTATATACATCTTTTATACTGGCAGCAATGTAATTTTTTTTTAATAGCTACCAAAAGAAGAGTAAATCTTTCCTTTATTTTCCCAAAGAGTTTGTGTGTGAGTGTCTGTGTGTGTGTATTTAAGTGAAAAAAATCCTATATGAAAAATTAAAACTTGGTATTAATTATGCTGATTAAAATATAATTTTTATTTAATTTTGAATTGCAGATAGCAAAGGGAAGGCTGAGTTGGCGTCTCTTAAATATCAGTTGGCCAATGTACATATCAAGGTAATAGTATAGATAAAAATAAAATTTTGTTCACCATATTAGGATATTAGTTTTAGGTAACTTAACACATTGACATATAGCTAATCCTCATTTAGAAAACACAGTTGGGAGTGGCAACTTTGTCATTAAGCATAGCAATTGCTAAACGTAACTGTAACTTGCTTACAATCCTATTTCAGTTTTTCTCTGCTGTACAAACCTTCAAAGGTATAAATGTGAAAAATGGTTACTTACTACTTTTATTCCACTAACTGTGAATGGTCACTAAACAAAGCATTCAATAAAGAAGTATTAGCTGTATGACAAGGGATATGATACACTACAAACTTTCCTAACTTGCAAAACAAAACCCCCAACCTGTCAAAACCTTTCCATGTAGTCAGCAAATATTTATGGCTTTATCTACTCAGACAATTGTGCCTTCTATTCTAACTGGTGTGCACATTTGGAATTGTGTCATTTTGTCATGGAAGCTGCTTCAAAATCACCATGGAGAAGTAGGGGAAGGGAGCTTTCCATTAACAAAATTATTATTATTAAAAAGATAATTACAAATCAACGATTTTCTAGAATACAGCCCATTCTGTCCTTTTACTATGAGATACTGTTTAATGACTCTACCCGTATTAAGGATTACAGGGTTGTTCAAAAGGAGTTACTTCTTGCCTTCCTCCTTCATGCAAACAGATATAATACTAAACAATCATTTCTGACTACTCACTCTCCAAGAAAGCTTATGTGTACCAGTTCAAATGAAGATTGTGCTGACAACTATTTTGATTTGCAGCATTACAATTTTCTTTTTATTAAAGTATTTTGTATAAGCAGTAAGATAAAATAGGAAGCTTGATGAGCATCAGGGGGACAGGGAAGAGCAGCTGGGTATGATATTGCCCACAGAGACCATATTGAATACATAATCCTAAATATAGTGATCTAACAAATTATATTGCACAGAAAATGTATGATAAAAAGTATATATGCATTACGCTTTAATATCTTTGTGGCTCCTTTTTAAGACGTTATTCTTACTGGGTAATTTCTCCAATAAGATTGTTTACACATGAATTAGGGCATGCCAAATAAATCACCTTTCAATTTCCATACATTAGAAGTGCTCAAAAGTTGTGGCATTCCTTGGGAATTGTAAAAATAGTTTGGTTACTTTAATATAATTTAGATGTGCTTGGTAAGTAATTACATAAATATTATAAGTTTTTATCATTTTGTTTGTTTCATTGCATGGCATGTAATCTTAATTGTTATTATCTGACAGTACCTGGTTCTTTGGTAATGTACTGCCATAGGAAAAAATAATATATGAAATAATGGTTAATAATCATCAATTAAAACATTTATCTAGGTTTCTACCATTAATCTTGCTATAACATTAATGAATCCTGTTGAATCCAGGTGAAAAGTGGTTATTAACTCATTAGTAAATTCAGAAGGAACAGTCCATATCCAACTATCTTGTTCATATAAACCACAGACTTTCATTTTGCTCTATGTGCTACTTTTATTGAAAGGAGAACTTCCCACTTGAACGCCCTTTTGGAACACCTGCGAAGAATAAATACAAACTGGAAATGGACGTTCTATTGAAAGATTATGCCTTTTCTGTTCCAGCAATGTTTACGGTAGTGTAGCTTTTAATTCATTTTACTGATTTTTTTTTCCTATTATAATTGCATAGTCCATATTTTTCTATCCATGGTGTGATTTCTGTCCATAGAATTTCAACATATTATAAAACCTTTATATATTTTCTATACAGTAAGAGCTGAGGTGGCACAGTGGTTAAAATGCAGTATTACAGGTTAATTTACTGCCAGGAGCTTGATTCTGACCAGCTCGAGGTTGACTCAGCCTTCCATCCTTCCAAGATTGGTAAAATAAGGACCCAGATTGTTGGGGGAAATATGCTGACTCTACTTAGAGAATTACTTAGAAACTACTTAGAGAGGGCTATAAAGCATTATGAAGCGGTACATAAATATGCTGTTGCTTTTAAAGGGACACAATCTGCACAATCATTCCTATCAGATATGTAGATTAGGATTGAAATTAATTGTAAATGGTTAAATATATTCCTGTTTCTGTAAGAAATTAAATTAACTGGAATACTTAAAGCAACACAAAAATATTCCTATTCAATCCAATCCACCAGAATTATTTTACCATAATGGACAACTAGATGCAACTTCACAAAAAGGACATAGGTATAATAGCACCTTCTTATTGCCTCTCAGGAAATAAGTTTACGACTCTTTTCCGGTTCATTTGTTTTATAATTCCATATTTATATATTTTTAAATATGGTATGTATATAGTATTCCATATATTATCATACTATACAATTGTTTACCTAATGATTCTCGGTTGGTTTAATTTTTTTATTAACTACGTTCTTTATGTACCTTGGTTTAGGATACAAAACCAAGAAACATTGGTCAGTTGTCTCCTTTGTGGCAAAGGAGGAAATTGGAAAACAAATCCTTAATCGGTGAGCTTTGCAACAGCTTCAAGATACTTCACAGTACTGAAAATAAGAAAATTTCTCTTTCTCCTTTTTAAATTTCTTAGGAAATTGTCCTTATTTTTAGGATTTTTTTTATTTTTTTAAAAAATTAAAAGACAATATCAGATGTCTCAGAGGTTTTTCAGCTTCTTTGTGTTCAAAGCTTATGCTTTCTAATTGATTAGCCAAGAACTGCATTAATTTGGTTCATTAAAAAATTCTTGGAATGATACTTGTTAGATATGCTACCTAGGTAAGATAAATTTTAAAGCACTGACTGATTTCATGTGTTATATGACAATTCTGGGACATTTATTTAGAAAAGAAAGCTCAAATGTAATTGTGTGATCTGGATCCAATAAGGAATGCAGGAGTCTATTTTTTTATCTTTGTAAATACAAATTCCCACTACAGAAACTGCCGTACACCCTCTTTTCCCCTCACTTATTTCAGTCTTCTTCAGCTCATCTGTCTGTACCATCTGAATAGAAGGAAATGAACAGTCAGGCAAGAGCTGAAATAAAGTTGTTCTAAGTGCCCTGATTTATACTTTATAATTCTTTCTTGTGTTGACTTAATGTTTTAGTCCATCTAGTTTAATCTTTCTTTACTGAAAGTAGTGAAGATATCCAGGGTCTCAGCTGGAAATCTCCTTAGAATTCTTAAAATGGGAATGCCATGAATTAAACTTGGAATCTTCCTCAGTGGAACCTACATGTATTAATTTAATACTACTACAGAGTGCGGCACTTAAATGGATTATATAATCAGATTGGAAAACTTAGAGGGCACGCATGCTCATTCATGCATTCAATCAGTATCCGTATCCTACCTTTTTTACATAGCTGGGTTGCAGTCCCACCAATATTTCATTTTTTATTCGTCTTTGAATAACTGGCCTTTAGAATTTACTTTAAGACATAACATTATTGTTAGCTGCAGACAATTGTTATAGTGATAGCCCTCAAGATAATTTAAAGTGATTGTGCTAAGAGGTACCTATTAATAAATCTGTAATTAACAGCACACTCAAAAATTTATGTGGACAGATAAATAGGGTTACATGTTTTCAAACAATTAAATACTACTTTATCTCATAGGAATATTTTCTAGTCCTCCATCATAAAGTAATTTGCTTTATTCTCCCTGTAGAATGATATGATTATATTTCACAGTTTGACATCCTGTGCCATGTTTGAGTTTAGTTTAGATATATAAGTCTACATTTTCATATCCCCGTATGACTATGTAATTTATAAAATAATTTTAGAGATGTCACAGTTTAAGTTAATTTATTTCTGAGATTAAGAATCATGTTTAACATATCTTTGCTTTCTGAATATCATCAGATAGTTACATAATTAATATACTTATCTAAAGTAAAAATAATCAGTAAAATAGCCTGATTTAAGAACCATGAATTTATGAAGCATTTTTATGTTTCAACATCATTTAAGACAGTTTAGATCTGTGTTTTCATTAAGCATGTATTAGCCCAGTGATGGTAATCCTTTTTGGCTCGCGTGCCACTAATTTTGAAGAGTTTTTACTGTTGTGTTTTATAATTATATAACAATGTTATTTTATATTTTGTAGTTTTATTTATTATAAAGTGATACAGGACCATGCTTTATTACCACAGTATACAAGTATAATAAATAAATAACTAGCAGTATAATGAATTATTTTAACGAGTCAAGCTATAAGTGGCATTGTAACAGATCATAGACATTTTAGAAAACATTAAGTGTCTTCATTAAGTAATGTAAACAATTTGATACTAAGTGCTGCTTTTTTGTATCTTCATTTTATTGGCTCTAAATAGGCCGTGATACAATCCAGAAGAAGCAGCTGTCACCTGTATCACCGACATCTCCAGAACTGTCCATTTCTACTGCTTCACAGTCAGTGAATGGGACAATTGTGCCTAAAAATCAATCCTCTCTTAATAATGGAACTGGCCATAGTAGCTTTTTAGAAATGTATGAATCTGCAGATGAAAACTGTTCATGGAATAATGTCACAATGGCAGACTTGTATCCAGGAATGGTAAAAACTTTTACTAGACTATTGGATAAATCGTTTTCCAATTCATTAATCAAGCAATACAAATATGGATGCTGCCATTCTAAAAAGGCAAAATTTAATACCAACAAAGAGAAAATAAGAAAGTCCAGAGTACTAAAACTGACACCTGGCTTCATTACCAAAAATGCTGAAAAAAAGAAATTATCTATGGGAAGTAATGGTGACAATAGTCCTTTTTACAATTCAAAGCGTCAGATGCAGTGTTCTGAAAACAGCATTTACAGAATAGAACCTACTGTATCTCAGAACTCAAACAGAATGGTAGTAGACTGTTCTGGTATTATAGAAGATTATTCATACAGGCAAAGAACTAGAAAAAGTGTTACAGAGGAAACTGTTTGTCCTAGAACTCTTTGTGCAAACGAAACATTTTTGGTCAAAAATACAACTTGTTCCCCTTTATCTTCAGACAGTGTAAAAAAGAATCAAAGTTTTGGAGATACATTTTGCACTGTAGATTTAGACACATTTAATACAAAAGCAGAAAGTGAAACTGAAGAACTGAGTACAATGGCATTCAAAACTACCTCAAGTTTAAGTTTGTCTTCGAATGGCAGTACAAACTCCATTTTACAAAGAAACAAGTCTCCAGTGAAAACCTCTAATGGACTCAAAAATCATGAAATTAAAACTTTCACTGCCACTGTTTCACTACCACGAAGTCATTCTTTTTCATCCTTTCATGCTAACCAACGTCCCATTTCTTATAAACAGAAATATGAAGATGCTTTTGAAAAAATATATAAGGAATTATGTTCTCCAAAGTTGCAGAAGACATTTAAGTTTTCAAATATATACTCAAGCCCTAGAAACTCTGCAGATGTACACACTTCTGGTTTAGATACTCTGTCCTCAAATTTCCATAAAAAGACAAAGAGTACAATTGAAGATATGTACCAGAAATTATGTTCTGAAGGCTTTCCCAAATTTCCAACATTTCTAAGAGCAGCAAACTTAAAAAAATACGAAGGAATGCAAATATCTGAAACTGTAAATGCCCTTGTTAATTCTCCAATAAGAACTCTGCCTGCTGTTGCCAGAATTAAAAGAGCGGCTCATTTTTGTAATGAAGATTCTCAGTATTCGCCTTTAAAAAGGTTAAAAAATAAATCTGATCATTCTTACAGAATACATAAGAAATTACCTTACTGGGAAAACATAAGTGATACAACTTTCACATTGTATTCACCTGTTAAAAACAGTTCGGCATCAAATTCGGTAAGTGAAATATAATCTACAATGCCTTCAAACCTAAAACCTTTTTTAAAGTACGAAATCCTTTAAAAGTGTTTTATTTATGGACATTTCTAAAATACATGAACTTATCTTTCAGGGCAAGGTCCTACATGTACCTACGTATAAATCTCATTGAATTTAGCACAACTATTTTTAACTAATCTCTTGGACTAAGAGTCTTACTAGTTGTTTTGGCACTGTGTGGTTGTCCCTACTGCTGTTCTTTTCTAATACGTGAAATTAGATTATGGAAGGATATTAATATATGGATGCTAGTATTTTTTTTAAAAAAAAAAACTTTGCCTCCAAGATACAGATGTAACATGCTTTGACAGATGAAGTAATGTTTGATTCAAATCTTCTGCAAAAATAGAATACTTAGAAACTAAAGTGATGCAGAATGGAAAAAAAGTATGGTAGAAGTTTGTTGCTAAATAACATTTTACTCTGAGACATCAGCAATCAAGGTTGATGATGTTAGTTAAAAATCTTAAACTTTTTAATTTTCAGAATTACGGAGGTTCCGTTTCTTCAAGTCATAGCTTTCTGGCCACTTCAATTGCTGATATGGAAGGTTGGTTTAAAAGATTAAATGCAGACTATATAGCAATGTATTGTTCTTTGGTCAAGTTAGGCAGTTAATTGTTTATTCCAAGAAACATTCAAATATTAGATCAACTAGATCTTTAATCCTTTGTGCTCTTTAAAAATAGTGTAGGCAACAAATAATAGACAGAGTCAACAGATGCTGTCAGAGTAGCACAAACTCATAATTTCAGGTTGGTTTTAATGATACAACATTGTTTCTTTTGTCTGAACCCATTTCCTAATATTACTAATTCCTAATATACCAAATTAGGGATCAATTTTTCTAATATTAAATCATTGGGTTGAAGTTTTTGAGTCTATTTTTAACTTCTTTGTGTGTCCATTGACTGACAAATGAGTCTGCATTTGCTTTTGTTTTTCCCACTTTCAATAATATGAATATTAATAGATACAATTTTTGAGTTTTGAATTACCATGTTATAGTTGGAAAAGGCTGTCAGAAAGTAAATGCAACAGTATGTATATTACATAATCTGGAAAATATGAATTAGGATTATTTGTTTAAAATATGGATGAAATTAATACTTTTTTTTTTACTATTTTTCCCATTTCTGAATTGCCTGTCTCAAAGCACATTTGAATTTGGTTTAAGAAATTTACAATAAGAATAATATTTATTCAACCTTCTAAACCAGCGATGGTGAACCTTTTTTGACTCACGTGCCATAAGCGGTGGAAAGCTCAGGAGGGTCGTGCATGGGCGTGCAACATCCATAATGCAACGCACGACACACACACACCCCAGTGCACATACATGCATGAGAGGCACTCCCCCCATTTTTTGCATGCTATTTTTGCATGCTTTTTTTGCCCTCCCCAGGCTCCAGAGGCTTTATAGGCGCCTGGGGAGGGTGAAAACATCCTTCCTCTTCAGGCCCTCCAGAGGCTTCAGGAGCTTCCCTGAAGCCTCCGGGGTGCAAAAAACTGAGCCTACGGGCAAACCAGAAGTCACTTTCAGTTTGCTCGTAGGGCCATTTTTAGTCCCCCGGAGCTTTCAGAGTCCTTCAGGAGGCTTCCCTGAAGGCTCTGGTGGACTAAAAACAACCCTATCAGCAAACCAGAAGTGACTTCCGGTTTGTCCATTGGGTTGTTTTTGGTCCTCCAGAGTCTTCAGGGAAGCCTCCAGAAGGCCCCTGAAGGCTCCAGAGGTCTTAAACCGGCCCTACGAGCAAACCAGAAGTCCGTTCCCAAACTTCCCATAGGGCCAGTCTTTTGTGCTTCGGAGGCTTCAGGGAAGCTCCTGAAGCCTCTGGGGGATGGGGGCTGTTTTCACGTTCCCCAGGCTCTTATAAAGCCTCTGGAGCCTGGAGAAGGTGAAAAATGGCTTTAAAAAGGCTGAATTCAGCTGGCCAGCACTCACACCTCGTGTGCCTTGACAAATGGCTCCATGTGCCACCTGTGGCACACATGCCATAGGTTTGCCATCCCAGTTCTAAACAGTATTTTACTTTTCATATGTTTGTCCTCATGATTTTTCTTTTTGAAATAATTTGTAACCAAAATATTTAAACAGAACTTTTTAATCCATATCTAATTTGTTCAAAGAATCTGAGATTACAGGTATGAATGAAAATATTCCCAGGAGTTTGCACAGATATGAATTTTCAAGAGAGTCACAGAATTATATACCAAAGTAAGCAATATTTGAATTCCTTTTCAGTATTTCATTTAGTTATCTATTAAATGTATATTGCTGTCCATCCCATTTAAAGTGATAACAATTCCTTATATTTCTTTATGAATGGGTAGAAAGGAGGAGACAAAATACTCAGGTATCTCTTATTAGCTACAATTAAGGCAAGATCGCTAATCTTTCTATTGACATGAATCACATTGAAAAAAGCCCTAGCGAGCAGGAGAGATATCCATATAAAATTGGTAGAGTTGAATGTTTTTCTTGCTTTTAAACTATAAGAGCTTTATTGTACAATTGCATTATCATTTTGTATCTATCTCACAACACTGGAAAAGCAGATTCGTTTAAAGGGGTCCCAAAACTTCCAAAAGAGTTGCATGTGGTTTTGAGGCTCAAAGTTGCTCACGGGTAATCTTGTTTTGTGGGATTACAGAACAGTTTCTTGCATTAAAAGATATAACACAGAAGATCATCTGTGTTCTCGTCTATAGTGCATTCCTTTCTACATAATACTCTGATGGCAGGAAGCTCAGGTGAGGGGGAATTGTCATGAATGATCATGTGAAAATAAAAATGAGGTCCAGTCAAAGCAACATTATTTATCTCTGTGTTGCTCTATGTCACTGGATTTATTTAATCACTGACTACTGAGATGATTAATTATTCCTTTATCAATATACTGAGATGATTAGTATTGCTATATCGCCTAAGGAAAAATGATGGGCATACCATAGTGAAAAGTGAAAAGAGAAACAGACATTATTTTAGAACCAAATAAAGAGAAGTGACTAGATGAAAGAACACCATAATTTAGCTTACTGCAAAACAGTCATTTCTTTGTGTAAAATAATAGATATCATTTGAAACAATATGTTTTCCAAAAATGGTCAAATCATTTTCTTAGTTATAATTCTCCCACTTGATTGACAGTCATTCCGAAGAGGTTAAGCAATAGTTTTTCCTGTTTATACAAGATAAATCTTCTGCAGGAAAAGCATATGCTTTGCTATGGAGCTGTGCTCTTCCCCAGTATATTTTCAATGTGGGGAAGAAACAAATATGCATGGGAAAAGGCTAATTCAGGGATTTATTTAACTTTAGTTGGAATAAATAAATTCATAAAAAAGGGAAAGAAAAGAATGTTATATCAAGTATTGTTGAACTGGTTAGACTAGATAACAGGTGGGCTTGCCTAAAGATAACATATTAAGTTAATGTTCAGTTAGATGTCCAGGGTTGTTATTTTTTTTAAAAAAAAACCTTGCATATGTTGATGTACAAAACATCATAACATAAAATTCTTTAATATTCGCAGTAATGTACTTTTGTGCATATCTCCCCAATAAACACTTTCATATAAAAATTTGAATCACATAAGAGCAATGGATACTAGTAGGTATCATATGTTCTGCTGTCAGTGTTAAGGTAGAACTCATATTGTTTGATCACTATATTTCACTAACAGAAATCAATGATGAATTTCTTGTGTATTATGCATTGTTGACACCACAAGTGACAGTTTTGTTATTGTTGATATCACAAATGACAATTACTAAAATCCTAAAATTATTTTGCTATGTTGTACATGTTTTTTGCTATGTTGTACATGTTAAACTATTCTGAAGTTAAAATTATTATCTTCTGAAATACAGCATCAAGATCAGTAGCATAATATGTTTTGGTGGGCTTTATACTTCATTATAAGGGATGCGGTGGCTCAGTGGCTAAGACACTGAGATTGTCGATCAGAAAGGTCAGCAGTTTGGCGGTTTGAATCCTTAGCACCATGTAACGGAGTGAGCTCCTATTACTTGTCCCAGCTTCTGCCAACTTAACAATTGGAAAGCATGTAAAAATGCAAGTAGAAAAATAACCACCTTTGGTGGCAAGGTAACAGCATTCTGCTCTCTAGAGTCGGCAACGACTAGAACATGTGTGAGGGGAACCTTTATCTTTTTATACTTCATGTGTATATGTCACGTATAAATTTCTTTGAAATGCATCAGAGTCATTAGTTTATTGTTTGTGTATAGAAGTACAGAGGGGGGCGGTCAGTTAAAAAGATACAGTCAATATATCTGTGCTGGGAGCTCTTTTGCTGCTTTCTTTCCTGGTATTTGTATCAGTCTGATCAAGTTTTGTTTCTTTGCTAGGGTTTCCAGAAAGCTGAGCTATAATGATGGGAGAATCAGAAGAAGAAAACTCATACAGAATGATTATGAGGAAACATTTCTGGAAGGATTTGGAGAAGAAAATGATGTTTTTTAACAAAATATATTTTATTCCAGTAATTTCTAGACAGAATACAGATTCAGTGGAATATTCCTGAACAAAGTGGGAAAATATTTTTTACCAGTTCTTTAATTCATCAGCTCTAACACGGGGCAGTAGACTTAAAAGACTGCAGTGAGAGATAAAAACTACTGCTATAGTTCAGCATTATGGGGATAATGGAGACTATATTTCTAAAATTCAATAGTTCAGCTAATTGTTTTTTTCTTCTTCTTGGTAGTTTATTTAGCTTAAGTGTCTATAAGAAACATCTTTTGTGGTCCTGGATTTGTTTGATCTGCACCTCTAGAAAGAAGTTATAATAATCAAGATGTAAATGTGTTTTTATAAAGCGCTTTTAATAAGCTCATGCTTTAGGATAAATCAATTTCATTGGTAAAGAGTATATTTGAAAATATCATTTTTTTAAATTTTTATTTTAATTATACCTAATATTTGACACATATATCTTCATCTAATAAAAAATTTAATATGTTTGTATTATGACTGAGTTCGTTATAATCCTGCTACTGGGATATGTAAAACTGTTAATTTCACCTAGGATAAATCTTTCCTTATTTGCTTATCAATTTTCTAGGCTACCCGAGACAGAGCATAGAAGTTTTTTTTTGGGGGGGGGACTATAAATTAAAAATACAATACAATAGATAATGTTATCTGGGGGGGGGACACAACAAAAAAAAAATGTTGCCCACCATTGGGTGTTCTCAGTCATCAGAAATGGGACCAACAAAAAAGGCTCAATTCTATAAGGCTAGCTTGTGAAGGAAAGTTATTTCAATCTTATATTTTTGCTTGAACTGGTCGGGTGAAATGGGGAATCTATATGCCAGGACAAAGTAAGGCTGATGATGTTACCTAGCTAGGGTAATGAAACGTTTGCAAAAAAAAAAAAAAAAAAAAGCAAGCTCAGAGAGCACTAAGGAGCCCACATTTCAACCCTGAGCTACAAATATTCTCCTTTATTGATAAGTTAAAGTACATTTATTAATTATTAGAGAAAGCATTACATAATACATATTTTGGAACTGATTGTTTATTTTCATGTCAAATTAGATAAAATGTCATATTTAAATATTTACTTCCTGGAACTATACCAACTATCGTATATAAATTTTCCCTTGAATTTGTTCACTATGAACAAAAAGCAACCATTACTAGTAATCCCAAAAAGTATGTCAGATTTACCGACTAATTTCAAGGAAATAAAATGTGCTTAATTCAAACTTCATTGCTGTATTATGAGATTTCCAATGCATTCATGTAGTTTTTATTACAAGACAATGTTCTGGATGTTATATCCTGAACAGGTACGTCTGGGGAGCAATTAAGAATATTACTTCTTATACTATAAAACAGTGGTGTAAAAATCAATAGCAATCACTTAAATACAATGAAAAATGTCAAATTCTTCCTTGGAGATTTATTTTTATACCTCATTTACTACTTTCTTTACAGACCATTTAATTCAGATGCTCAAGACATTACATAGTCATTGAGTAATTGAGATTGACTCTTAACAGTTCTTAACTAGCAGGAAACTAAATACATGCCGACATTACATTTGCTAGCTGTACAACTGTTAATTAGATGAATCAAAGCTGATACATTATTCCCTAATTAACCTTAAATATTTCCTGATGTTATTACATGTGCAGTAGGGCAAGTTATAATAATACTGAGCAGAGCTGAATGAATAAGTTTTACTCAGTAAGTTAGCAGAATTTTTGTTAGTGGTTGTAATCTAGTGGAATATAACTGCTTTATAATAAAGACAGTAATTTGGTTCCTACTCATATATGAATCAGGTGAAGGGTATAATCAGTTCCACACTGGCCTGTTAAAGGACCAAGCAAATTTCTCTAACCAAGTTAGATCATTTATCTAACTTGGCAATTGAATGTTTAATGTCTCTGAATGATTAAATTGAGAAAACATTTGGGTTACTAAAATATGACATCGTTTGCATTGTGTTTTAAACCAAACTCTCTGAACGAATCAACCTTAGAAGTATTTTCAGACAGCTTTTCAGCACTGAGTTGTGCACTGTTGAGATAAATGCAAGACACCGTGGAGTTGTTTCTGGTAAGTTGATTTTCACCCATTTCTAATGTACGATATTTCTTTTTGGGCTGAATTTTGTGTTTTCTTCGGACACTATGGTCAAGGGAAGCATAACACATTTGGGGCTCAGCTGACTGCTACAAAAAAAAGCAAGTCATATTATTGATCATGTCATGCCATTTAATCAAACAACTAAGAAGGAAAGTAACAATTTAGTTGTATAATACATCTAAATGAAATATAAATTTGCAATTACATGTTTGAACATTTGGTACTATCTAACAAAATGAAATTCAATGGTGAAAAAAATAAGGTTCTACACTTAGGCAAGAAAAACCAAATGTGCAGGTAAAGTATATGTGGTACCTCTTAAAGTTACTACTTGTTACTCTCAAGTTATTACTTGGAGTCCTAGTGGATAATCGCTAATATGAGCCAGCAATGTGCTTCAGCTGCCAAAAAAGCCAACACAGTTCTGTGGTGGAGTAATAAGTCAAGTTAAAATAATAACTTATCTACATAAATTGATGAAGAAGATTTATATATATTACAGGGCTGGAATTAAATATATTTAAATATTGGCCAAGATTTTGCAAGTAACATTCTGTATTTTAGGGCAGCTAAGATCCAGACAAATCATTTAGCACCATAAAGGGCCTTGAAAAAAGCCGTTAGAAATTAAATAACATTTATATAAACAAGCATGTACAAACCTGTACATCAGTGGTGGATCGAGGAGAAGGGACATTCATTTGCTCATAGCAACTTTCATCTGAAAATAATTTTTGATGTAAAATGTTTTAAAATAGTTACTCTATATTATTATCAATCAGATAAAGTTCTGAACTGACCTGTTATTTTATAATACCATGCAGGGTAGCAGCTATAACTATACTGTGCTGGTAAATACGACATACAGTATCTCACTTCCTCTAGATCAGGTGTCAAACCTGTGATGATACATAGTTGTCACGTGACATAATTTCCCCCCCTTTACAAAAACAGGTGTGCATGGCCAGTGCATGTATCTGGCCCGCAGTCAGCGGGTTTGACACCCCTGCTCTAGATTAAGGAAGGGCTTTTGGGAGAGCTCAGTATAGTACTCTGCATCCACTTTCTTGCTGGGTAGATATTTAAACTGAACTGAAGAAGCGTTTTCATGGGGGGAAAAACAAAGTCCAGTTGCCTTTTGGAAAAGCACCTTTGCACCATGACCTGGATGACTGGGAATCTCCATAGACATGGAAATGTAAAAAAGTTATAGGCTTCTCCACAGAGTTCATGAGAAATCTAAATAGTCACTCAAGCATGATTATATTGTAATTAGAAGAATTTACTTAATCTAGTTCCCTGCAATGATATTCCAGATCAACATATCTTTAGTATATAAAGTTTTTTATCTTCTAATTCTGATAACATCACTAATATTGTGGCCTAATTTTCAATGGCAACAGTTAACACAAATAATTCAAATAATCAACAATGATTACCATATATTTAATTGTTTTTATATTCATAGACCATTGATCCCAATAAAAGTGAATATAAAAAGTCTATACATCCCTATTAAAATGCCAATTATTTGAGATGTAAGAACATTCAGACCAAAATAAATCACTTCAGAATTTTTTGCACCTTTAATATAACCAGTGGTGGGTTCCTATCAGTTCAGACCGGTTCGGCTGAACCGATAGTGATTTGGCGGCCTGGGTCGCTGGAACCGGCAGCAATCCAGGACTGCCATGCCCCCGGACTGGTTCTAGCGGCACTATAGGCATTGCCATCTTATTTTTTGCTTCTGCGCACGCAGAACAATTTTTACTGCACTGTGCATGCATGTGCAGCACGCATCAAACACGCGTGCATGGCGCAGATATGAGTAAACCAGCAGTAGTGCCTGCCACCCTGAATATAACATATAAGCTATATAATTCAATTGAAAAAACAAACTGATTTTTTTTGGGGGGGAGGGAATTACAATAAAAAGTTTACAATAATGTGGTTACATAAGTGTGCCCACTCTCATAAGCAGGATGTGATTAACTCCATTCAAATTGATGTTATACAAATCAGTACATATTTGCCTTTAATTAAAGTGACGCTGATTAAGCCCATATAAAGTTCAGGAATTCTAACAGGATTTTTCTGTCATTTACTAGTGGCATCTTTCAGCAAAAACCCATGGAAAAGAGCAGACAAAGCATTAAACGGATCTCATTGTTGGAAGATATAAGTTAAGAGAAGGGTATAAAATTTCCACGACATTGGCTATACCATAGAACACAATGAAGACTACCATAACAAGTGGAAAAATATGGCACAACAGTGAAATTATCAAGAACTTTTCATCAAAACTGATGAAAACAACAGGAAGAAAACTGATCCAAAAGGCTACCAAGAGGAATTTCTGGCAAGCACTGGTTGTGTACTACATCTGACAACAATATTTTCTATTCTTCATATGTCTGGGCTGTGAGGTAGGGTGGCAAGATAGCAGCTTTTTTCTTACAAAGAAAAACATCCAAACTGGCTACATTAAGTCTGACAAAAGAATAGGGAAAAATATGTTATGGTCTGATGAGACCAAGGCTGAACTTTCTTGGCTATAATTCCAATAAGTATGGTTTAACAGGGGTATGCACTTTTTATGTTTCTATACATAAAATGTACTAGCAATATTACAAAATATTTTAAAAGATAGGAACATTTGTATTTCCCTCCCCTGATTTCATGTAAGCCGCCCTGAGTCCCCTCAGGGAAAAGGGCGGCCTATAAATGTTAATAAACCTTCAAACCTTCAAACATTTGTTATCAACTTTTTGCTGTATTAAAGAATCTTAGGAAAGGTCTAAGATGGGGAATTTCCAAATCTCCAAATCTTAGTATATTTTAAAGAGAGAGGAGAGAGAGAGGAGGGAGGGAGAGAGAGAGAGAGAGAGAACTATTGTTGTGAAGAAAATAGGAGAAGGAAGTTACGTTGAATTGCTGCGTTTGTTGTATCTTTAATCTGTCTCTGTATTCTGATTGTCTTGTTCGTTTTTGTATTGCCCCTTCCCCATGTGTTTGTTCGCCGCCCTGAGTCCCCCTGGGTATAGGGCGGCATACAAGTTTAATAAATACAAATACTAATACCATGTTGGATATGTTCTCCACCATGAGTTGTTTGTAAAAATAATAAAGGCAGGATATAAATTAAATAAACAATTAAGCATGAACTATTATATTCTTCCTCTAAACTACAACATCTTCTTCCAGAAAAGAAGGAAAGAAAAAGTGATAATGGCTACAACAATTAGTTCAAATTAGTCATAGGAATCTAAATGCAATGAATAGACAACTTTATAACTTACTTAGCATCTCCTGTTGGTAGTGATTAAGATTGTCATAAACTGGACAAATTTCTTCATGACAGTCCTCATTGCTTTAAAAGAATGCAAGACAGTTTTAAAATAAACAATGTGGACATATTCTATTAAATTGTATTGCATAATTGTTTAGAAAAATATGATTTATATGACTAGGTGATTTCTTTTAGTTTTAACTGTTTTTGAATAAACAATTATTTAAAAATAATAGATTGTATTCCAATATATCTCCCTTCCCCTCTGCACTTCCTGCTCCACCGCCCACCTTTTAATTCATATTACTTTAATTGTTTATTGTTTTTCTTGTTTCATTGCTTTATTAATGTTAAGTTTACATTTTTCATCATTTTTTTCTGTTTTTTTCTGTTTTTACTGACGTAAGCTGTCCAGAGTAAATGGAGCAAATAAATTTAGCTAACAAAGAAACAAATAAAACAAACAGATTCCTGATGTTCACCATAGAAGATGCAAACATAATTTCTTCTGATTTCCCCTGTTCTATTTCCAGCAGTCCCCTGAAAATCTAATCATTGTGAAATGACTTTGAATATTAGTATCTCTGGTTGATAGTTATGCTGTTGGTTTGAGCTCTGAGCTTGGCAATTTGGTTGCAAACGTTTCATCCTCATTTGAGGAGACATCTTCAGTGCACTTTGAATTGTGCTTGTCTGGGGGAGCACTGTCCTTTAAATACCTTTCTGAGTCCTAGTCTGATTTCAGGTTGTGTGATTGGATGGCTGCAGTTGCTTTGTGGTTTTAAGTACCATCTGTGTGATGTAATTAGTGCTGGTATTATTCGGCTCAATATAGCCCAGTTCTACAGACGCCTGAAAGTAAACAAACAAAACACCCCACTCCAGCCGATTGTCTCACTCTCTGGCACACCCACCTACAACCTTGCTAAAGAAATGTGGAAATGTCTAAAGAACCTAATTGCTGACTCTCAATACTCAATAAACAATTCCTGGACAGGTTCAAACACCTGACAAAACAATGATATTATTTGATGTTACCGCATTATTCATATCTGTAGACTTCAAACTGGCAGTTGACCTAATTAAAGAACTACCGGACAATACACAGCTACCAAAAGAACCACTCATAATAGAAAGCCCATGCAAACTCCTCCAACTGTGCTTAACCACCCACTTCAAATTTGACTGAGAGACTTATGAACAACTGAAAGGATCACTTACAGGATTGCCCATATCTGGCTCGGTTGCAGAAGTTGTCATGCAAAAGATCAAATAGACTGTACACCCACAAATAAACCCCAAGCTATGGTTATGTTACCTTGATGACACCTTTGTGATAGACAAACGCAATAAGGTTGATCAAACCTACCAAATGATCAACAGCATCTTCATGGATATCCAATTTACAATAGAAACCGAAAATGACAACAAACTGCTATTTCTGGACATCCTTGTAACCAGAACCACCAATGGCAAACTCCTAACATTGGTGCACAGAAATGCAGTGCACACAGATCTAATCCTCAACTTCCAGAGCAACTAAAATGCCATAAACAAAGCTGCATCAGAATACTGTTCGGGAGAGCCGAATTCCATTGCAACCCCACGGAAGCCAGATGAGCAGAAGCACTTATACAAATAGAGAAAAACAAATACCCATGAAACTTCATCCAGAGATGCCTACACACAAACACACAAAGCAACACAATTATCACAAAAACAACAATGATCAGATGACTCAATGACTCAACCAATTGTGTTGTATTTAAGTACAATGACAATAAAGATTATACTTATGTATCACAATTCCCTATGTGCAAAATGTTTTAGAAATGTGGGCAAGATTGCTGACCCACCCAACCTCACAAACCAACCTCAACCTTCAGATGGATCCTATCAAAACCGAAAGGGCAGACAGAAACAAACCAACAACCAGGCAAAATATATCAGATCCAAATCAACAACTGCAAGAACAATGTCAGCTGAACAGGAAGAAAGCTATCAACCGGACTGCATGAACACTTCCTGGCCATCTAGAGACACGACCCTCCATCCCTCATGTCCGTCCACAAAGACTCAAAAGGACACAAATTCAATCTAACTGGGACCACAGTTGTAACTCAGGTGAAGTCAAGAGAAGAAAAGGAAATCCTGGAAGCCTGGTTTTCCACCAATAAATCAATAAACAGATACATTGTCATTGATCCAATCTACCAACACTCAGAATGAAAGAACAACATCAACCATGATCCTGAAGGCAGCATTTAAAGACCAATGATCAGCCACAGCTGTTCAAATCAACCCGAAGCCAGACCATGACATCATCATAAGATATCTGAACAACAATATCAGCACTAATTTATATCACACAGATGGTACTTAAAACCAAGGACTATGACTCAGCAACTCCAGCAATCACACAACCCGAAATCAGACCAAGACTCAGAAAGGTATTTAAAGGCTAGTGCTTCCCAGACACGCACAATCCAAAGTGCACTGAAAATATCTCTTCAAATGTGGACGAAACATTTGCAACAAGAAGCTTGGAAATCAAATCAACAACATATTGAATCAGTGTGTGAGCATTATTATTAATTCCAGCAAATTAAGTTCCAATTTTAAACAATATAAAAATAATTTTAGTGGGATCCTAAAGTGTTCCAAAAATGTATCAGCCACATATGTTAAATTGGGATCTAGAATACACTGGACAAAGGATCTTTCCATGTAAGCACATCATCTCAAAAAAGGAAGACTTTTGCCATACCTTGAATGATATTCATTATAATCTTCACAAATTTTGTCTGGAAAACATTTTGAAAAAATCAGCAAAATTTAATAAACAAGTGTTTGGCATTTCAATATAACTTATTTTTTAAGATGTGATAGTTCTTTATTTCTTTATAAAGATACTGCAAAGAGAAGGTAGAATGCGCTCTGCATTTTCCTTTCCTACCATAGACTTCTAACTGCTATGTCCCCTAGGTTTTGCTGTCTCCCTGGTATAATTCAGTGCTATCTCTGGCTTCTATCCAAAGCCTATTCTCTTTCTGGTCTTCCTTCTGCCAGAATTTCCCCATGCTCTTTGTTCCCATCTCCACTTTTTCTTCCTCTTTCTACTTTGCTAAACCTACAAAGCAGTCTTCATGCAATAAATAGCAAAGAACCAGTTATAGCCAGGATTTATACTGCATGTATTGTATAGTCTATACTGCATATAGACTGCTTTATAAGTTTGGGTAGAGCAGTGATCCAAATCCAAAATGTTTCTATATACAGTGCTTTTCAAGAAATAAAAGTACCAACAATACTATATGTAGAGATTGTATTTTATTTTCCTTTTTCAGAAGTCTTTGAAAAATGCTGATTGCATATGTGTTGATTTAGAACTTGGAAGTAAAAAAATAGACTTAAATCCTGCAACTTTCACTGCAATTATGGAGTTGAAGGTTAGTTTGCTAATGTTGGTAAGGGTATGCATGTGTGAAAATAAATGGAATGCTACTGAGCAAAGGGAAGACAGGATAAGTCATATCTCCTTTAGAATTCAATGTATCTATGCAAAAAAAATATAAGACTGCTTGCAGAAATGTATTGCTGGGAATGGGGATATAAGTGGTGATGCAAAAGAAAATGTGTTTGCTGAGAATCTATACTATCTACAACAAAATTTGATGTTACAAATAGTATGGTTCTGAACATTTGTATACCAAACACTAAGGTAATTATGTTTATAATGGAATAAATGATTGAAAGTGAATGGCAAAAATTAGAAGTAATTACCGGTAGATCAATATGGTTATATCAAGGCAGAAGTTTTACGAAAAGTAATAGATGCATGGAGAAAGTTTAAGAAAGGGAAATGCTAGTAGAAAGAGAGTAGGTAACATGAGCTGATCTGAGGCACATTTATTCGTTGAAAAAAATAACAATGGCTGTGCATAAGAGTGTGTTTGTACTCAATTTGTTTTTGTGGAAATGGGTGTTTGCTATGTCATGAAAAACACAAAAGTTGAATGCCAGAGGAATGGGATACTTGAAAGGATTGTCTGATAAAACAAGATGTAATAGGGGCAAGAATGAATGGATGCCGGACTAAATGAATGGGTCAAGTGGAAGCAAAAAACTAAGGAAGATGGAGCTGGATGGGTTCATGCAATTCAGAGAGGAGGGAGTAAGGGAGGGAGAGAGGGAGAGAACTATTAAAAAGCAAAATGGCAATTTATGACACATTATATACCAAGCAGGACATAAGAATGGTGAGCAAAGATAGAAATGACATGAGATAAGGTACTGAATGGTACTGAGTTAGAAATCATTGGTCTTTTTCTTATGTCCTGTCTTTCATATCTTTGCTTTGTTATTCCCATTCTGTGCTTTCTATAACAGGAACAAAAAACAACAACAAATAGTTAAATATATGTACAGTATATGTGTATGTAGTATTGTAGCTTTGCTGTGCATTATTCCACAAATTTTATGAACTTTTGCTGGATCCTTTTTTAAAATAATAGCCTTAGGTTAGAGACATTAAAATCTGGGCTATTTCTGTTTTCTGGCTGACTGAGAGTGGTGGTGCTGGCAGTGGCTATAGAATTTCATTTTCAGCTCATATGCTACCTAAAGGAATTTGGCTTTTCTATGACAACTAAAGGCATCTGCCCAAAGTAATAGGAATTCAGCAGATTATATAATTACTAGAAACAGCTGGAAAGAATCTTCAACAGCCATCATGCTATAATAGTCATTTACTAAGAGAGGCTTAAACTTGACAAATGCCTACAGTTTCTTCTAACTACATCTGGCACAGTGAACATGATTAACTTTTGAAATGGATGATGCTTCTTGTTAAAGGTAAAGGTTCCCCTCGCACACCTGTGTTAGTTATTCCCGACTCTAGGAGGTGGTGCTCATCTCCGTTTCAAAGCCAAAGACCCAGCACTGTCCAAAGACGTCTCTGTGGTCATGTGGATGGCATGACTAAATGCCAAAGACGCACAGAAGACTGTTACCTTCACACCAAAAGTGGTCCCTATTTTTCTACTTGCATTTTTACATGTTTTTGAACTGCTAGTTTGGCAGAAGCTGGGACAAATAACGGGAGCTCACTCCGTTACAAAGTGCTAGGGATTGAAACTGCTGAACTGTTGACCTTCTGATCGACAAGCTCAGCATCTTAGCCACTTACCCACCATGTCCCTTCCTCTCCTTCTTGTTAAACTACAACTTAAAGTATAAGTATAAATATATCTGAGATTAGTTTTAATGTGGCCTTAGTTAAAATTAGCACTACCTTTACTGAGATCAGATAAAGAATTACTCTTTTCATTCCATTGCAGATGAAACTGAAATCTCACTTCCTGCTATTTCTGTAATTTACAGTATTCTAGTAAAAAGTGCTGTATTTCTTGCGGCAGGAGCTTATTTTCATTATTTCACTGCTGCCATTTTAGTCATATGAATGCATTAATTCAGGCTTAGTTTAATTTAACAGTCTTCAAATTAGGTCAATACATATATTAATATCAAATATATATATTTGAGACACTATCTTACTACCATCAATTATGTTATCATATTGATTTACATTAAATCAGAATATTGGTACAGTATTGTTTAGGATAATGCTAGAAGCTACAGGACTGCAGATTTTATCAGACTCCACTGGACATCAGCAACAATCTGCAGAGCTATTGGTCAAAATCCATCTTGTTATATAGGTAGTTCATTTCTATCCCAGGGATAAATCTGTTGAGTATTTAAGTAAACTTGTGGTGTATTCTCTACTATTCAGCCATTATCTCTCCTTTTGCTTAGTTGTATATCAGAATTGCAGCTAAATTATTTAATTCTATTTAATTTTAATTGAAATTGTATTTGTTTTCCTTTGATCTACAAAAAAACTGAGAGTTTTTATTTATATAGTTCCTATGACATTAATGATTCTATCATAGGAAAAAAACATTATTAACAGTCACATTCCTCTTCTACATATGTCCCTTCAGCTTTCCTTACCTTTTTGTTTCTTGTTTTTTAAGAAGTATAAAACGTTTTTTAGTAAAGAAATTATCATAATAACAGTTACAAAAGAAAGAGGTATCCAGCAAATGGTACACTGATTAGCTTCCATTCCTGTAAAAAGATAACAAATGTAAACAAAAATAAGAATTTTGTTCATTTAAATTTTTCAATTCAGCATTCACCTGACATGCTGGTATATGCATGTATGAATTTCACAAACACAAACACTACTACTTTTTTCCTTTAAAAGGATCTTTGGATATGGGTAAAATACATTATATAAGATATGTTCAAATTCTGAATAACTAATTGTATTTGTGTGTTCCCATTTGAAATGTATAATTTTATTTGCTCATACATTGAAAAAATGGATATCCATTTTTCTAATATTAAGGCATAACCAGTTAACAATTACTATATAATTGTTAAATAAAGAAGAAAATGTAAATTCTACTTCAGGAATGGTTTTAAAAAATGACTGCATAGGAACATAGGAAATTACAAACCTGTATTAATTCTAAATGTTTGTGCTAATTCTGCAAACTTTATGAAGAATGTGTCAGTAAGGTTGTAATTCTTTTTTCCAGAAATTTGGAAACTATTTCATGAATAACAAAACAAGTAAGTCTGGAAAATGAAAATATGTGCACTTTGCTTTATTTGCTGACAAATTTACTTCTTTTAAAAATAGATAGTTTATGTACAGAATATCAGAGAAAACATCTTAATGAAACTATCCAAAAGTGTCAAATAATGACAACTTTTGTTTTCTCTAAAAATCTGGTCAGTAATCAAACAGAGCAGGTAATATTGACAAACGTATGAGAAATATAGGAAAACATAAAAGAATATTGAGCAAGTCAATATTCAAAACAAAGCAGGGAGTTTAATGAAATGTATTTTAAGATTTGTATCATCTACCTGTGCCGCCAAAGTGCTGTAAGTTCGAACTCCAACAGCTATGCTGATTAACTTCTAGCATAAAGAAAACTGCGCAAAAGCATCTTTGCAACATTTATTCTGGAGCTACAGGTCCAGACAGGTAAGGATTTGTGCCTTGTCCTGCCTCCTCTCTGTTCTTAAACCAAAGTGCCTTAGTGACTTTCAGTCACCATCATTTGCCGCACAGTGGCCAGCTTCTTTCCTTACTGCAAAAACAAATGCAATAAGGAAAGTACCCACAGTAGTTAGGAGTATCTGTAATGATGGTCACTGGGTTTCATAGTGGCAAGCATGGTGGGGAGATCAAAGCTCCACCCCTTTTAATGTGTGGCACAGCATTGCAGACTTACAAAAGGGAGCAAGGCTTTAATCACTCAGTTCTGCCCGCCATTTTGCAGCCGGTGACTATCGCAGCAGATATCCCTGATTGATTGGAGTATCTTCCCCCCCCCCCCATTCCAGCCTCTTTTGCATTCAATTTTATCCTATCCCAAGCCAATGTGCTAAATGTCACACTTTGTGACATTGCTATCACAGTTATGATAATAATGCAATGAAGGCCATGATTTTTCCAACTGCCGACAGTCACTTTTAATTGCTTTGGCTCTGCTACCACTCTTCAGTTGCTGCCAACTTCTCTCCAAGGCCACTTTAGCTGGGCAGCAGGAAAGGTCAAGAATCTATCTGCCTGTGTAATGCCTGCCTCACACATCGCACGAACCAGACATTCCACGGACTGCTTATCTACACATGTGAAAAAGTGAAAACCTTTTGCTTTCACCAACAGGCTTATTGGCAGTGATTCAAGCAAGAAAGGGCTCTTGGGTAGAGGCATAGGCTGTCTATCAGATTTTTTATAAGAAGCTGAGGCAGGTGAGAAAGAGAGAACAAGAAAGATAAGTGAGTGAATAAAACTCTTAAATGAGCAAACGTAAGTAAGAAACCTCAGCAAATAAGACCAAGAGAGAGAGAGAGATGAGAAGCAATTAAGAGGCAAAGAGAAGAAAGCAAACAACAGAATGAGAAATCTTATAAGAAGAAAGCCTCCAAGAAGAAAGAAACACCAAATGAGAGAGACAACTTGAAAAATAACAAGGACAAGAGCATTGTAGCAAGAGAGGCAGATATTAGCAGGACTTTAGTGGAGACTCTTTAGTGGAGGCTGTAGTGTCCGATCCACAGGATGAATGTTGGCTTCTAGCAAAGCAGGAAAACTGTAACCCCACAAATCAGGTTGTGGCAGATAACTAAACCAATATGTTGCCAAATGTCAAAGCTTACTTCTTGTCTCAGCCCGATCCCATACTATGGAGAGTGAGTAGTAGATCTTTATATACATATAAAGATCACATGTCGTGTCGTTGCGACATTAGCTCCTATCTCCGAGTAGTAGATGTTTTGTCCCACTTGCAGGATATTCACCAATGGTTGGACACTTGTTGCCTCATCATCAAATCAGGTTAACACTTTGATGACAAGACAATGCAAACTATACCAGCTTTTGAGTTGCTATATTTCTTGGTTGGAAGAATGTTAAAGAATGCAGTACAGGGTCAGATATACCCGTATCCCAAAGGTGCTTTTTCAAGAGGCAACTGGACTTTTTTTGTTTTTCCTCGAAGACATTTCATTTCTCAACCAAGAAGCTTCTTCAATTTTGAAGGATTTTAGCCTAGGACATCTTAGCCGTCATTATATCAAAATAACAAAATTTTGGGGCTGCAGAATTCAATCAAAAGACTATTTTTAACTAACAGAGTTCAATTATTCTTAGTTGTTAGAGGATTTTCCAGTGATTGCACATAAACTCTGAATCCCTTAGCCTGAATAGACTATGCCAAGACTCTATTAATAGGGTCATTTATCCTTTTTTTAAAAATATATATATTAAAGCTTCATTGAAATTGTTGTGTTTGCCTGATCTTGATTTAATTATGTTAACTTCGTTGTATTTCATTTATTACAACTGTTCTTTTATTCATTCTTCTAATGAATTTTAATTGTTTGAAAGTAAACCTTAGTGGTACACCAGCATTGTAATATAAATAAGTTTTCATAGAAATAAATTATGATAACCAGTGGCTTGGATCCACCTTCCCTTTGCTTATGGAAAAGATCCATTTTTTACTCTCTATTCTGTTTTTCTCTCACACACACATAAAAATATATAGAAATTGCATTAAGATCTTATGATTGCCACAAACAATATTACAGAATGAGTGAAAGAATTTACAGCAAGAAATATTGTTTTACCAGCATTATTCTGTTAAAACAAATATGCTGCAAAATTTGCAGATTTTCAGCTGTGCGCACCTTGTCTCAGATGGAGGTATGGCTTTAGCTACTGGGTGATATGTAAGCAGCACTAGACTTTAAAAAGTAGGTAGGCCATGATAAATAACTTAGCTATATGAGAATTAAATTTGATTCATATAATTAAAATAAAATTAATATCATTATTCCCTATGCATTTCATTATTTCCCTTCTATTGCATTGAAATTATGATTGAGAGGCAAACTTTTAGAGGGGTTCTGGAGTAACATTGCTTGGAGCTTTGATATGTGTAGCTATGATTTAGATAATATTTAGATATCTCTGGCAATAATCAATAAAATTGATCAAAATGAAATGTAATTTGTAGAAAAAATACTAAAACAGAATCACTCTACGATATCACTCACATCTATCGTTTTGTTTTTAAGTGTAGCTATTCTATTTCTATATAATGTAGAAAACATAATACTATCAAAATCTTTGGTAACAACTATCTCATCATCTTCAAATTCTGCCTAGAATATAATCATAATAATTAACACCAATTAGTGAATCTCCACGGACGTTATCGCTCTACAAAAACTTTATGAAGACTACAGTATGAATATACATGCATTCATGTTTCTCTATATCAACTCTGATTCAATCTAATCAGACTTCTCCCACTGTTGCTTTTTGGATGTACTAGGATTAACACATCTTGTAAAAGTGCTGAAATATTATTTTTAATTGCATATCTATAACTGTCCCTTTCTTACTGTCATTGAGATATGTTATCTTAAAGCAGTGACACTCGTTTCTGGAAAAAAATATGCAAGAGCAGACTCTTTATTTCCTATCAGTAAGTCATTTTATTGCCTACTTCTTGTAGTAATGTTCTTAACTTACAACCTTGTTTTTGCAATGCTGTATGGAACTTTTTTAAAGCAACTACCTCAGTCAGACTTAATCATACACTCACTTGTCATTAGAAGTGAAATCTTCATTTTGTCAAAAAGTATCCAGATTACAATATAATTCTATATGGGCAATTCCATTGCATAACTACTTTGTATTGAGAAATTATAAAAATGAAATATTGGCTAGAGACATCAACAACTAGGATTAAAATCTATGTATCATAAAAGAAGTGGCCATCACACTGAACCGGCATAGAAGCTTAACAGAAGGAAGTACATCTTGGCATATTAAGGAAATACTGGATACATTTTTATTGCTTTTACTGTCTATACCAAATGCAAAGCAAATCACAGTAGGGAAAATCTCAAAGGAACTAGAATAATTACTGACATTCAAATGAACACAAGTACTAAGTGAAGTAAAAATTCTGCATGCTTTAAACAGTTGATGTATGAAAACAACTAGAATAATGATTGCTGCCTTATATCCACTTATCTGGGAATAAATCTAATTGAATTCATTAAGACTTCAGTCAATGTAGACATTACAGGTTAAGGTAAATATATTTATGAGAAGAATCATATTGGGGATTCGTATCTCCAGGAGTATCAACTGTTTTAATTAAAGGTGATAAAGGGATCACCTATAGTCTATTGTTTTCTCATTCCACTCAAAGGCAATGCAATTTATATTTCAGAATTATAATTCTGCCTTTGTCTTGGAACAAACAAACATTCTTCTGTATATATTTGTGACATAAAATTATGGAGTCCCCATCCCCTTGGTAAAGGCTAATCCATTATATGATTGAACAATCCTGAACCTGCATAAACACAGATATGCCCTGTTAGAATAAGTTTTAAAGGATTATATAAAAGAGAATTAATCAAAACTTAGTTGGGTTTTTAGTTTTCAAAATATATGCCTCAGAAGCAAAAGATACAGGAAACTATATTTTGTATAAAGTAATAATTACTGAGCACTAACATTAGTTCTTCCCAACAAACATTTAATAATAATGTTTCTTTCCACTTAATTAAAGATAAATTAAGATCTACAAAAATTATCAAAATGAATAGACGTTGAGGTCTTTTGGCAGCCTGCCTTTGGATTTATAAACTTTCTGAATAAGTTTTTTTAAAATATACTTGAATTTGATGGTATAAAAGAAAGATAACTTACCTTTCAGTTTCCTGCTGTAACAGAAACAAACGGAAACAAAAATAGGTCTCAAGAACTGACTTTTGCTTGTTCAACACTGAGTTAATTTGGGCATTAAAAATTCAAGTTTAAATCCTACAAACAGGAAATGTGGTAGGCCAGTGGAGCATTCTACAACAGCCATGAATACATTGTTTTTCTTCATTGAATTAAATTATTTTATTGAATTTAGTGTTGCAGGTTGAACGTAAATATCTTTATTCTGAACATCATTACATTTTTTTATTGAAAATCCACACACACACAAACACACACACATACACACACACAACATATTGCATGTTGACATAAAAATAGAACTTACTAAATATAGAACATGTAGATTTTTTAATTTTAATTTCAATCATTAAAGTATATTATGAATTCTAACAAATCTTTCCTTGGGCAGAAATACTGCAAGACAAGGGCTCAAAGGTTTGAAGTTTTACCGTGATTTCAGTTTTCCACAAAGGGCTGACCTCCAGAGTTGTTAGACTTTAGCTCCCATGATCCCCGGTGAGGAAAAAAAACTGCAATTTTTTACTGCAATAATAAATCATACAAATAAAATATTGAATGGATAATTTATAGATTGCGTGACATTTTGGAGTCAAGTCAGTAGATTGCAGAGATATAAATATAAATACTCCTTTCACTTTTTCAGCCAGAAAAAAAACACAAAGAGTCAAAATTTGCTTTCTTCACAGTTATGCACAATTTCCTATGTGGTTTCTTTCAACATTATCTCTAACTCAGATATATAGGTAGGTAGGTAGGTAGGTAGGTAGGTAGGTAGGTAGGTAGGTAGGTAGGTAGGTAGGTATACAGACAGACCATTCTATCTACAATAGGGGAACAGACAAAAATACCATAAACAAATTTATAGTCTTTCAATTTTGCCAGAACTTTCCATCAGGAAAGAAGGCAGAAAGCAAGGATAATGAAGAAATAGAAAAAATGCTTTAAAGTCGGGTGCATATTCAAGGCCTGTTCTAGATAACAGTATTAATCTACTGGAATTCATTACTACTAATTACAAAGATGGTGATTGGCTATTAGATTAATAAGTTAATTGTTTAATTATGACAATAATAGAAACAATTGAATATATAACGAAGAGAGCAAAAATTACCGTTTTCCCAAAAATAAGACCTATGTAAAAGTAAGTCCTAGTCTGATTTTAATATAAGTGCTCCTAATATAAGTCCTACTTCCAAAATAAGGTCGTCATCAGTGGGAGGGATGTGACCAGCACCAGAGGTGGCAAGGACGTGAGGTTCAACAGTGTTCAGCCAATCTCAGCTTGCACAGCACAGATGAATTGATTATATGTCCAAGCAGCAGGTGAAGGCAGAGGCGGGGAGGAGGCATACGATCTGGACATGTTGTGTGGGACATGGGAAAGCCAAGAGTTGGTGGGCTAGAGTGAGCTGGTGACTACAGAGGCTCATTTTGTATAATATTTATTTGGTAGAGTCTATGTCATATTTCTATCTTTTAATCATTTTCCGGTTTTGTAGTTGTCTATTGATTTGTTGATCTTTCTTCCTTTCTTTTTTGCTTTCCTGCTTCCCCCCCCCCTCTTTTCTCTAGCCAATTGTACAATAAATCCCATACGGAGTAGTATTCAGATTCTTCTTTCTCTTTTAGTTCTTTCGTGAGCCTATCCATCTCTCACATTCCAATATTTTTTTTATTACATTTTCTTCTGTTGGTGTATAATTATTTTTCTAGTTTTGTGCGAATATAATTCTCGCTGCTGTAATTATGTGTAGAATTAAGTATCTAATATTTTTTCATAATTTTCTTTTATAATTCCTAACAAAAACAATTCAGGTTTTAGTGCAATTTTGTGTGTAGTAATCTCCCCTAGCCAATCTTTTATTTTTTTTCCAATACTTTTTCGCAGATGTGCATGTCCACCACATATGGTAGTATGCTCCATGTTGTTGGTTGCATTTTCAACAGACAGGTGAACACTCCGGGAACATTTTCGCAATTCTCGCTGGTGGAAGGTGCCATCGATAGAACATCTTGTACATGTTCTTTCTATATGTCGTTGCCATCGTTAATTTGTAATTTATTTCCCAATTTTTTTCCCATTCTGCTAATTCTATACTATACCCAAAATTTATCGCCCATGTTATCATAGTTTATTTCACAGTTTCTTCTTCCATTTTGAATTTTAATAAATAGTGTATCTTCTAATTCTGTCACAGATATGTTAGTTCTCTCTAGTTGGCATAAGGACCATTAGAATTATGGTAGCCTTGTCCCATTTCCTCTTGACTTTCTTATTCCAATACTCTGATTAGGATCGCTAATGAATTTCCATATCCTGGTTAGTCCTAGTCAAAGTAATCTTTTTCTTTTTTTTTTCTTGTCCCATGCAATGATTTTCATGGATATGTTTTGGTAAGCCAGTCCTGTCATTCTGTAGAACCACAAGTAGCATCATTGCAGGATTTCCTCTTTTTAAGTGGACAAAATATCCCAGAATTTTCTACCCATAAATTTTCATTGCAAATTACTGCCCTGGGCTTACTTCCATTTTTGTTACAAAGGGGAGCCTTTTCAGTCCTGCCTCACTACTTTTTCTTTTCTTGGCTGGTTTCCCAGACTAATTAGATCTAGGAAGATAAAATTCCATAGACGACTTCTCTTATTCATCTTTCCCCTGCTTTTGTAATGTTTTACTTTTGTTCTTGTAGAGACATCTGCTACTTTTGTTTTTCCTGCTGTGGCTACAGATGAGACTTTCATGAACAAGTTGTCTACAATAATTGCTTTTTAGGCATCCTTTTCACAATACCAACTGTGATTTCTTGCTTCCACCCTGAGATTTAAACCCAGACTTCAATCCACAGGAGTTTTCTAATTTGGCCAAAGATGGAAGTGATAGTCTCTAACCCTTACCTGTATATACTGATGGTTAGATGACGGTGTTACTAGAAGTCTCCCACTGCAAAAATCCAAGATCCATCCTGACCATTGACTTCTATCTGTACCATGTCCATTTTCTAGGAAATAAGCCAAAAGTTACTTATTACAATTAAATTAAATGTTGCTAAGCACAATATTTGAATCAGTTCTTAATGAATATGTGACAATAAAATTTTAAGTGAGATTCAGACTCAGAGCTGAAATGCTTTGGCTTTACAGAATGACAATTTCCATCACCTCATTGCACTGACTTATTATGATTTTAGCCAGAATTTATTGAATATCAATGGACATGCTAATCCCAACCTAGAAAACTACAGTTTTTTCTTGATTATATGAATATAATCAATCAGAAGTATATTTCTTTTTATTATCATTTTTATGTATTTTCTTCCAAAGGATTCTGGAATATTATACCAAAAGAGTATAATTTCGAATAAAATTCTACCATAAAACAAGACATAAAAAATCCTAAATGAAAGTGCAACCAAAAAAATTGAGATCTATTTGGCACATGCATTTTCCTTAGTTTAGAGGTATATCATCCTGAGTGAATTTGCATCAAAGAGATTTATCATATCAAGTCTGGGTGTGGTCAGCTTCAACTGGCAAAGTTACCTAACAGAAAATAGCTTCTGAGCATGTGTAGCACATTATGCCCAGAAACTGCTATTGTGGATACAAATCAAGTGGTATGGCTTGACCAGTGTCCAGTCAAAACCTGAGTTTCCTGGCTCCCCTTTAAAGACCAGCTGAATCTCTCATGAAAACAAATTCACCTTTAAAGATATGCATAGCTGAATACACATGCAATTTACATTTATATTGACAGACTGTTAAGTTTTCAATATAAACTACAGAGATATTTGCAGTTTTAATAGTATTCAAATTCATGTTGCATTTTGCACAGGAAGATGTGATATCCTGATCATGCTCTATCTGATGCTATATTTTGTATGAATCTACTTCAGGAAGCATGACAGCAAGGCTGATTGATGTCAGTCAGGTGATTTGTCTCAAAGGAAGTCGTTGCAAGCAAGCATAGGCACCACATTCTTCAAATGAAGGGAAACATCATGGCTAAGCTGTTACTGTGGTAACGCTGTGCTTCACCATTTTGCATTAAGGAAGTGCTTCATTTGAAGCTTCATCAAAACAAAGTGTCTCCTTGAAGTACTGGAAATGTGATTCTTCAACCTCTCACAACCAGCTGACTGGTTTGTGGCACTATGTTATTTAATAGAGAGAGATTTTTCCCCTGTTCCCATTTCCTTGTCTTTTACTTTTTGTTTATGAGCTTGGTATTTCAGGGTTTTCTGCCATTGTTTACAGGTATTGTGTATATGCATACATGATGCTCTTGTCTGTCTCCTCCTAACTGGAGGTAGTTAGATAATCTGTAGATTCTGCCTATTCCTTCCATATATTTCCTTAAATAAATCATCTTTATATTCAAGTTATAACATTACTCACTAATCCTGGCTCAAGTTAGATCCCCATTCTCAGGAACATTCATACACATGCGTAAATGGTTCACTTCTAAGAAGACTGGAAGGCCCTTCAGGCAGTCACTCACAGTCTTGCCACCTCACACCTTGACCACTGGAACACCTCTACATGGGGATGCACTTGAAGACCACCCAAAAGATTCAATTAGTCCAGAGGCATGTGCAAGGATGGGCATGCCTTGGTATGACTATGGGATGTCCCTGCTTCATGAACTGTACTGGTTGACAGTTTGCTTCTAAGAGCAATTTAAGATGCTGGTTGTTGCCTAAAAAGCCCTGCGTAGCATAGGGCCTGGTTTCGTGAAAGACTACTTCTCTCCCATGATATTAGTGAGACTCGTTTGATCCAACAGGTTTGGTGCACTGCGGGTTCCTTTGATAAAACAATGACATTTATCAAAATCCTAGAAGCATGTCTTCTCTGTTGCAATGCCTGTCCTGAGGAATGAAGTTATCCCTGGGATCCAGGTAGATCCCACCTGGTGACATTCAGAAGGTCTTGACTCCAGACTTGATTCTACTTTCAGATGTGAAGCTAGAGTGGT